ATGAACGAGATGGGAAATGGAGGAAAAAAAATGACGAGCGGTTTTTTGGAGTGCTTTTTTGTGGGAGAAGAAATTGGGGAGATTATTGAGAGATTTATATGTGTGTGGGGGATTAGAAGTAGGGTAGGGTGGGTGGGGGATGAGACTTGAAAGAAAGTAGAAGAAATTAAAAAGGGCGGTTAGAAGTCAGCCGATGGGAATTTCCCGTATTAAAATACTACAATTGATAATTGATTTTCGACAAAGCAGTAACTTTTAGATGAGTGGTTCGTCTTATTTTTCAGATAAAAAATTTATATTTATATTATATTGAGATTGTTAGGGTGTGTTTGTATACAAATTTTCTCGATCTGTATTCAATTCATATTAAAAATTTAACTCAATTTTAATTAAACTTCAATGTCCTCAATATTATTAATATAATTAAATAATATTAATTAATTATTCTTACACATCATATCAATTTTAATTCACTATTCATCCACTCACAAAATTTTAACTAACTATCACTTCATATCATCTCTCTATTTTTACATCAAATCAACTTTAACTATTTTTATTATTTTATATTAAATATTATTTTAATATAAATTCAAAATTTCACTAACAACTAACTATACTATTTTTTTTTAAAAAAAAATTAACTCTAATTAACCAAGAAAACTCATTTTGAGTGGATATATTTGTATACAAACACGCCATTAATATCCGAGGTAAGTTGTATGAGTCCGAAATAAAATGCCACCAATTGAAGGAGCTGAACGAAATACCCAAATCAGATAATAAGGAGTTAAAATCGACTTCGGGAATATTAAGACACGTTAAATCTAGCAGGATCCTCATGTCGGGTAACCCCAGTTGAAGGCCAAGTCCATGAGTGCTAAGTTATGCAAAGCCGAGGACCAACTTGAAGATACGAGCTAGGCGCATTAAAGCGGCAAAAAATATTAAGATAATGGCCGCTTGCAGCTAAATGATGAGAGATGGAACACGCCCACCTAGACATCTGTTAACCTACGTGCTATAGCCTCATAGGGTCCCATGTCGCATTAAATGCATGTCATTTCTATTTAATGCTTGATGTACCACCCGATAAACAATAGTCGATAATTCTTACTATAAATAGTCATATAAATCATTTGTAAAAGAAATTAGAAAAAAATACCCAATTCCCCATACAAATTCTCTCTCAATTAATACGGGCACCCAAGCTCATAACACTATAATCCGACCTCATATTTCCTCAATATTTCAACACTTTACACATATTGTTCCTAACTAAAATAGGTTAAGCTTCATATTATTAACTCAAATCCAATATTATTGGTTGATCAAATTCGTTGGTCAAAGATTTTTTCACATATTTACCACTATGTTGTAATAAAATGTGTACGCCAGCTCCATATCAAGATCTACTCTTGAAATTATATAATTAACATGTATGATATATGTGGAACTTGTGCAACATATATTAAATATCATACTTTGTTTATATTGATTTTTTAGATAAAAAAGGTGTGAGATATCTGTTAAAATGAATGGTCTTGTTGTATAACTTGTCATACATATGAAGTCATTCATAATTATCAAACTACTTTTATAAGGTCATTTAAAATTATTAAAGAATAATATATATCGAGAAATAAATACACTTTAAACAAGCACTTGAACCCGCTTGGATCAAAAGTATTAAGATTTCAATTTATTAATTTGTCATGAGAAACATATCTGCTAACTTTGTATAAGTTCAATTAGAAGGTATATAATTGTCTAACAATTAGGTGCTAACTTTGTATAAGTTCAATTAGAAAGTATATAATTGTCTAACAATTAGGTTTACTCTCGTACTTTAAAATATTACTAGTATAACACCCATGTATTACATGGGTGGGGACGGTGCTTCATCCCGTCATAAAAGTGGGATGGGTATGCGGACAAATCAAATCCAACCCCTACCATAAATAATCAACATATTTATAGATAATCCAAACCTATCCAAGCCTAATAACGAAGCATGTAATTTTGCCACATGGGACTCCGAAGCATGCGAGCCTGCCAAATAGGCTCAATACGTTCTCAATTAATATATAAGGGGGATTATAACAATATGAATTATTATAATCCCTCAAAATAAATCACTATTTTTTTTCAAGATTTACTCTAATAAATTATCTTTCAAAAATTGCATTTTCATATTCTTTCAAATACAAATACTTTTTCCCTTCCAAAAATTTCCAAAACCAATCATGATTTTTCATTTTTTTAACCTTTAAAACCTTATTTAATATGTAGTTTTTAACCAACACCCTTCATCATGCCAATAACTTATTTTCTTTGTGAACTACATGAGCTCTAGTTGNAAAGGAAAAAGATTATATTGAAGGGGTGTGGGTCCCAGTGGTGGGGGTGTAAATTGACAAGTTGGTGAGAAAGACAAGTAGTTATTAATGGATGGGGTTGGATTTGGTAAGTAGGTACACTTTAACAGGTCAGTTGCCCTTGTGTTGTGGGCCCTACTTTCCTCTTACTTTCAAATTGACCTATACATTCAGACACCTTGTATGATTGTATCTATCTCTCATTCACTCTATCTATTTGCAAGTGTGTGTGTGTGTTTTCTTGTGACAATTTTTATTTTTGAATTGATAAAGTGATTAGCAAGTTAAATTTGCATTAAATAAAGTTGTTACCCACATGGGTTTTTTTGTACAACTGCCTGAATAAATGAGGTGGCCACCATTTTTTTTTGGACACCTTCCATTTTGATTAAACATGTATCTTCAAGAAGATTATGTATAACTAATAACATACAGTTGAAAGATGCTTTTTCAGAAAGAAGGAGCTTGAATTTCCTATACTCAAATTTGAGTTCGAACTTTTATTTCGGCTTAGTTCATTAATTAAGTAAGCTCGAATAATTTATTTTTTTATATTATCGGATCGAGTTATTAAAAATTAATTACAATTTTTTATTTGTTAGTCTTAACCAGTCAAAACTCATTAATTAAACGAGTCTAACCCGAGTTCGAGCAGAATTCATGAACGACTCATTTTGTATATCAACTCTAAGTACAAACAAGAACATTTAGGTAACATTGAATATCAAATTTTGTTGTCTATTTGTCCAGGGAAAATTTATCTTATCAAAACTATGGATGGTACTAATTTTTCTTAAAAAATAAAAAATAATCAATATTATATATTTTATTAATATCAACAATGAAATTAATATTTGTTCTTTTCGTATTTAATATTATTTTCAATTTCTTTACGACTCGAGGGTACATTGTAGGTTGAGTTATTGCAACGTCCATGTAACATGGGCTATCATGCTTCGAATATTATTATAATTATTTTTAAAATAACTTTATGCAACAAACTAATAATACAAACAAAGACGGGAAGTTAAAAAAAGAAAAAGTATTTATCATGAAAAAGGCATAAAGAAACATCCATACACAAAGAATGATTTTCATTACCATACAAAACTGTACCCATTACAAAGCAAAAGCAAACAGATTTGAAACCTGAGAAGCTTGAAGTGGAAAGAAATCGTTTCGCTTAAGGCATAATCGAATTCTATATATCGATGTTACAATCTACAAATTAACTTAATCGAAAATTGCTATACGTGTGGATAAACTATACGAAACAGCTATAGTGAAACAAACACGCTACGAACCTACGTATACTCTTAGGCAGTTTTTGTCGTGTTACTCAACTCGGTTTTGAAGTCCGACTTTCTACACATGCAATCGGGCATGGGGTGCATGTAGAGTGAGCTACTCGGCTTTCTCATCTCTTTGCCCTTGACGTCATTGTGGTGAAGCATATCTTGCATTTGCCGCTTAAAATCTTGCCATCTGCAAAAGATTAATGTGATGCATTGATGTAACCGTATTCTTGTCGTTACGTTTATTTTTGTTACGCAAACATCAGCCACGAAAAAAATACAAAAAACGATGCTTTGAGGAGAAGTGATTTATAGTACAAAAACGGGAAGTTTTGAGAAAATCAAAATTTTTCATTAAGAGAAAATTGCAATTTTAGTCATGTATGTTTCACTACCCAACTTTTTGTGTCTCTGTTTTGATTTTCGTCTGTTATGTTTGCAAAAATGTTATAAAAAAGTCCCGGAGCATACATAGGGAACGAAATTGCAACTTTTTTTGCGAATTCGAAGGGGACCTTTTTGTAAACTTATTGCAAACATCAGCCACGAAAAAAGACAAAAAAATGATGCTTTGAGGAGAAGTGATTTATAGTACAAAAACGGGAAATTTTGAGAAATTCAAAATTTCATTAAGAGAAAATTGCAATTTTCGTTCTCTATGTTTTCACTACCCTAACCTTTTCGATCCCTTCGAATTGTTGTTTGATTTTCATGCCTTATGTTTGCAAAAAGGTTACAAAAAGTTCCTCAAATACACAAGGGACGAAATTGCAACCTTTTTGCCCATTCGGAGAGGACCTTTGCAGCAATTCGAAGGGAACCAAAATTGCAATTTTATCTTTCATTAATATTTGCATGTAAAAGCTAAAAGTTATGGTGTAGCTTTTGAGTATTTACATTCTTTATTTGGGTGGCAATGCTAATGAATTATTGTAGAAGTGGTTTTATTCACAAGTAAAAGTCAGTAGTAGATTACTTGATGCTCGGCTTATCGAACAATTGGGCTAACTTCCTCTTATCGGGCTTTATTGTTTTGGCGTGCCCTTCATAGACATAGCGCCTGTGGCCCACCAAGAAATGGGGGAAATTACCACCTTGTGTCGTGACAAAAACTTCACTATGGAGGCAAACTGTATAGTCTAGGGCCGCCAATCTCGACGAGTACCCCTAAAAATAACCATACAATTATACCGGCGTTTCAACTTTCGGAAAAAGAAGAGATGTACAAATGTACCCTTGTGATTCAGTCTAATTACAAAAAACCCCCCACACGTTCTACTCTACCAAGCTGAAGCCTCAGGGAAATGCAAATCACTTCTTAATAACACCTTGAGTGAGATAATTTTTGTAATTAGACCAAGCTTCAGGGGTAATTTTGCAACTTTTGACATAGAAATTAGAATCATACCACAAATGGAGCAAGCTCTTCGGGGGAAGCCAGAGTATCTTTAGTCTCGAGACGGGGAAACATTTGTTTTAAAGGAGCCATATGCTTCTCAACTTTGTAAATCTTTCCAGCAGCAACAAATAGAGAGGTGTTGTTATCAAATCCCATGCCCCTAAGCATCATTCCAACCTGCCGAAAATACCAAATTACAATGTCACCAAGAGGCCAAAATAAGAAAAATCGGGGTTCTAAGAATAATAATTAGGCAAAAATGCATTTTTAGTCCCGTTGGTTTAACGTCATAGCAATTTGTCGCAAGATTTTAAATTTTCGACTTTTGGTCCTGTGATTTGTGATTTAATATTTTGCTGCAATTTCTACAATTTTAGTCTTTTGAGGATTGAATTTTGCAACAAAATTTCAAATTAGAGAACTTAAATTGCTAATCGAAAATCTGGGAATTTTGGAATTTGTTGCAATTTCAGTCTCAAAGGACTGAAATTGTAACAAAATATTAAATCACACGAGTACAAAGCGAAATGTTGGAGCCTTGAGGCTAAATTTGCTATGGTGTTATACCAGGACTAAAAATGTAATTTTGCCTAATAACTATAATACCTCGAGGGGTGTTAAAGGGCATTTCCCATCCACACGATTTGCGCCGGGTCTTATTACTCGGCCTCTTCTCCTAAATTTCCCTCTCCAACTTCTCTCCCGAATGAAGTCCATTTCACGCTTTTCATCTTCACCTCCATCATATATGCAACAGGAGAATGCAACCATATCCTTCACAATAATAAAAGAAAATTAAAGTTTATTTTTCAAGAATATAAATAGCTCATTTGACATTGTTCCTAGGTTTTATTATGAACATTACAGCAGAGTTATAAGTTGTAACCTTTAACAATAAAGTCCAGCTAACATGCAAAATTACAAAAGTCCAGCTAATTTTTGTGGAACTATAATTATTCTCAAATTGTATAATCTTTCCAGAGAATTAGGCTATGTTTGGTAACCAAATAAGTTAGCTTATAACTTATTTGGTTAGCTAGTTAGCTTATAAGCTTCATGTATTCAAATAAACTTCGTTTGGTAGGACAAACTTTTTTAAAAAGCTCGAGCTTATCTCATAAGCTTCTTTGGGCAACTTTTTAAATAAGCTCGCTGAAATTTTTATTTCAGCGCAGTTTACCAAACACTTTACCATATAAGTTTTTCAGCTATAAGTCATAAGCTATAAGCTCAGAATTCAATTAAAAGCTATAAGCTAGCTTATCATCTATCAGCTAGCTTACGAGCTAGTTTTACCAAATATAGCCTTAAGGAATAACGAGAAAAAGTACCTCTTCAAATCGAAGGTGTACAGATATGTATCTCCCCCCACTTTTAGTACTATTTTTCACCATCCGATCGACCATCTTGGCGGCTAGCATTCGTATGGGTCCCGAAAATCTGAGTGCTTCAAAATTGCATAGGCATCTAAGCCCTTGGATATATGGAGGGACTGCATGAGCCAATCTGTTTGAGAAAGGCGCTATACGGACAGCCCTGTTACAAAATCATTAAGATAAAGTTTTTTTCATGATTACACTTTCTTTCCTATTTTTTTTATTATAAATTCAAGGGCTACTACTTTCATTCAAGGGTAGAGATCAGTACTTTAACTCCACCAGCTTCGGTAGAACCTTTTCAAGATAAAACTTTGGGCTTGACCATCCTTTTACCCGCAAATTCACTATGTTGCTTATATTGTTATCAAATTGCTGGAGTATATCTTCAGGAAGTTGTCTAACCACGTTAACGTGATTTCTAAGAGCATATATGAAGAATTCTTCATCGAATATANAAAGATGAGTAAAGAAAATATAAGTGATAAAATATAGGATAACAATAATGTACTGTCAAATGTCAAGTGTCAACTATAACAATATAGATAATCAACCAACTCGGGAGAAAAATATTATACAGCCGAAATATATTATTTCCAAATAAAGCAATCATGTGGTAAACATTATTTCCAAATGTAAATCCATTTATTGTTAATCATATAGGAGCACTGACAGTACAATGCAGAGATTATACAAATTTCCTTCAGTTTCAAAATCATATTATGAGGTAAACAGATGCTAACAGCTACTTGCTTTTCCAACATTCGGTTATCTCAGTTTGGTTGCGTTATTGTGATTTGGGATCTTATTTGAAAATCATTAAAGGAATCATATGCCTCGTTTATTACGAATTACACTACCACTATGTAAATAGTAAATACAAATAGGAAATTATATGAATACATGCAGTGATGTTTGTCCTCACCTGGAATCTTTCCACACACTATTTAAATGAAATATGGGAATAACAAGTGTAGCATTCAGCAAACCAGCCACTGCCACTGCATCACAAATCTGTTGCAGAAAATAAACTGATATTAATTATTTTAGATTAATTACTTGAATATAACTCCGTTCAGTAACACTTCGTTTTTCTTAGAATGAAATCCAACATCTGAACTAAATAATAATCAATGTATAGATGTTTAACTTTATCTCAAGGATAGAGGATTCCGTATATGACTTAATGGCTCACCAAAAACTATGAATTCGGAGAGTAGTAAAATTACCATTAGAAAAAGATTGCCAACTTCATACCATGAAAGAAATCTATATTCGATGATAATGCAAAGTGACAATCAAGTACACAAAAAGGTAAAAAGTAAGAAAATATCAGGTTATTAGCATATTCCACTTTATCTTGATTCAACTACGTATTACTTCATATCCTATAAAGAGCATCCCTATCAAATATGAAGCAGTTATGCTCAAGTTACACACTTAATGTCGCTTGGTATGCAATACCTTTTGGTTTTACCCCATATTTCACCAAAATCTTCTCCTGTCAACTGCAATCAATTTATTAAACATTTAATTAATGTTGGCGTTGTTTTAAAAGAGTTCCCAATCATCCAACTTCAGATTAGATAAAATCGTAAATCACACTAACCTCCCTTCTGAAATGCCTTTAAACTACAGCATTCAGTCACGTAAATTGGAGAAAAAAAATTTAAAACTCTATATACAGCGGAGGATTGGAATATGTAATTAACCATGTTAGAACTGAGTATGGGTACTTAATCCACCATAAAAATAATTTTGGTAGGAGAAATATTTTATCTATGTCATGATTGTAAGGATCATACATTCTATAGTTATAAAGATAGGATATTATACTATGATCCAAGATCCATTCGAAAAGTGCTCGCGGACAAATGTAATAGTAAATCAAACATATTCACATGGGATAGAATTTATCCGAGTAGAACCTACCGATAATCTTTGTTGGTTTAATCCTCCATTTGCTTCAATTATTAGGAAACCGTTTGACTTTGGAAACTCTGAGATGCCTTCATGCAAAAATAGAATAAACATAAAATTAGCAGATAGATAAAATAACAAAAACTATTGAATTGTAGTTGTAATTAACCTGATACAGAGAATGATTAATAGTTGGAATAACCTCAAAGTTTCAAATAATTCACATAATTGACTCGAGAGAGTGCTATTACTTTGCGAATAAATAGATAGATTGATTGCCCCCATATTACAAGAAAAATATACTACAGAACGTAGAATTGAAAGATGACAGTTCCATAAGGCTTGAAAAGATAAAATCGTATTATTTTCAAGTGGGTGCATTTTGTTGCGGGCTGGAGAACTTTCATAACCAATTCAAAAGTCATATGTTATTATGGGACATGACCACGAAAAAAGGACCTTCTAACAATCCCAGAATCGTGCTAGAGGCTAGAGATCAAAATTACCGATGGACAGAAAAAAAAAGACTAATACTCTTGTTGCAAACCTGAATAGGATACAATCTGCTTGATACAAGGCTTCCAACCTTGACCCAACTTTGGATTCCAAACATTCATTAACTGCATTCAAATTTCACGCCACCAAACAACGGGAATCAGATAACAATCAGTGACAAAATCATGAACAGTGATAATACACATCCTTTGAATGTGCACATATCCAATTAGAACACTAACTAGAAGGATTACAAAATCACTCATTGACATTCTCATTTCAGGACATATTTTCCCACTCATTTCAGTTTCAACTAAATTGTGCTCAAACAATCCTACCAAACAACATAATTGCAACCAGAAGTTATCACCTAAATCATCAAGAAACATGATGCAGCTCAAAATTCAACTAGCTATTCTACCAGCAAGACTAGAAAACTCGATTTCAGAATACAAACCAGAAAAAGTGGGAAAAGAGATTAAAAAAAAAATCACCATATTAGAGCTTCGATTACTTTCAGCCTCCATAAAAGGCCATAGCTTCTCAAAAACCTGAGGGCTCCGGTACACTGAGCCCGGCCCGACAACGTCACTGACACCACCATTATTATTTTCAGATTCAAATCCCACTATGCCCATATACATTAGCAATCCAGAAATATACAGCAAAGGGGCAAACAAAAGCACCCCCCTTCTCCTATACAATGATGAAATCAATAAATACCCAATCCCCTCCATCACATTTTTCACATCCGCCCTCCCACCACCACCACCAGCAGCAGCGCCGTTTCCACGGAAGTTCCCGCCGCCGCCGCCGGCGGTGGCGCTGGCGTTGGTCTTGCCACGGCTGCCGCGGTGGCGGGGAGACGCCGGCGGAGATAAGGAGCTCACCCCGTTGCTCAGGCGGCTAGGCCCATGCATAATTCTTGATCTTTTTCCCTTTTTAGAAAAAAAAGAAAAAAATAAAATCTTCCCAAAATAAAATACAAAAAAAAAAATGATCTAATTTGGTTCTCTGATCCTAGTGATGGCCGCGTGACATTGGGGCTCACAAAAGCTAAGATCTTTGGCAAAAGATCAAATTTTTCTATGGGGTTAGGTTACATGAGAGAAAATATGAGTGCTGAATGTTGTTGTACAAGTGGCCAGTAAATGGTGTGTGGGAAAAAGAGAGAATTGAGTGTGTGTTGTGGCCAGAAACACGAGAACTTAGGTAGTGACATTAATGAAGGTGGGCTTACTGCTTAGTGGGGAAGTTAAAGAAAAGCTATTCGCACTGAAGTCCGAATTAAAAAATCAAAATTAAAATCAAAAAATTATTATCAATTTATAACCATTCCATGTCACTATAATTCTCGATTCACTTCTATTCGACTTGATATTGGATAAACAAACTGAGCTTGTTTAGGTGATGAAAGGAGTTTGTTAAGATTTAATATGGAATAAAGGAACTAAGCTTGTTTAGTCAATCAATCAATTTAAGCTCAACTCGTTGATCTTCAAAACTAAAAATTTAAGTAGTGTTTTTGTACCCAAAAAATAAATAAATAAATAAAAAATAAAAAAAATTAAGTAGTGTTTTAAATTGAGCTCGTTTAGCGTACAATCTTGTCGTCTGGTACTTCATTGAGATCATGGGATTTATTTAAAAAAAAATATATAACATTTTTCTTGCAAATACAAGTTTGTATGTTTGGATTATGAATTTTATATTTTTTATGTAGCTAATAATAGCATGAATCCACATCATAATAACTATACTTTTTATGCCTACAAACTCCCCCCACAAGCTTGTTGGCATGTGTAATTAACTAATTATACTAATTTAGAACATAGTAAATGCAGATGATCAGACTGTGTGTAACATGTGGATAAATTATTTTTACTGTTTTATCACTTAATATACATAGAAATATATAGGTGTAACTCATTTCACCATTATCTATCTCATTGCAACATTCATTAAAAAGGTTATCAATGAAAAGAAGCATGAGGAGCAATATAATGAAAGTATTTAAAATGAAAAAAAAAAAAATCATAAATCAAATGTCAAGAAACATGCTTTCGGCCAAAAAGAATGCATCCTAGACTTTTTCCACTTTCCACACAAAAAAGAACGTGTTCTAAAGTAAAAGAACAATCAAGCCAGTGTTGTCAATTGTCTGCCCAACTGTCGGAAATTTGTGAAAGACGGCGCGCCACATGTTCAGGATTTCAATTTCCCCGCCGTTTTCCGCCATTAATAGCACTGAATTAAGCAAAGTTGAGATAGTGTGGGATGAATTTTGGCGGATATGAAACAATGTAAATTGAGGCAAGTGTACTATTTATGAGAACAGAGAAACGACCCGCCTGTTTGTAGGACATGATATCGATTAGATTATGAAGAAGTAGAGCAAAAAATTCAGATGCAAGTCAAGTTAAAATGAGCCACACGGTGATTTGATTCGATTTTGTAACAGTTGATCAAGAACAAACCAAAATGCAGGCTTTTAACCAGTATAACAAGCTCCTGAGGTCTCAATCAAGCCAAAACAAAAGAAGGAAAAAAAAAAGACAATATTCCCATAAACAGTTCGATGTATGTTCTCCAATGCCGATTATTAAAAAATCTCTCACACGTACACTCTGAATCAAAAGACAGCGTACACATATCAAACACACTATACATTTACATTACCGTAAGTTCAAAGAGATAGCGAGTGTGGTCTACACTAGGCAGCTGTAGCGGAGAGGATCGAACAATTGGGCATCGAGGCTTCACATGAATGCCGTCACACAATTTTCTCCAGAGCCCACAACTCTAGAATTCGAAGTTCTGGATTCTGAAGATGGAATTTGGGACAAAAATAAAACAAAAATGAAACAAATACAAGTCAGTATGAAGTTTTTCTAGGCGTATGTGATATGATTCTTCCTCTGATGAACTAAAAACAAGAGGGAAGAAAATAAAAAAAGGAAAATTTGAAAGTAATATGGAAAACAAGAGAAGCGTAGTTTGCGTGTTTTTTCATCCTTGTAGTGATATAAGCCAAAGTGGAAACACGTCAATTGATAGAATAACAATGTAAAGATAAAATAAAGGCATTGAGGTAATGAGCTTTTTAAACAAGATGTCAACACTACTGAGACATAAACACAGTATAGAATGTCAACACTGCTAATGGGAAATTCCAGCTCAGTAAGAGGCATCAATATGCTTGACGAAGATAAAATGAGCACACAACCAGCTACCAAGTGAAAAAGAAGATAATTTCCCAACTCATGTTGGCATATTGCAGACGTGCGAAAATGAATTAATGTAATAAAATCATATTTATTATACAAAAGGCAGCTTCTGAACTAACCCATAACTAGCATCCTGCTGTAAGCAGATATCATCAATCTTTAACTAGCATCCTGCCTGAACAACAAGACACAGGCAGCCATCAGAAATAGATAAACTAAAAATACTTAAGTACAAAAATAATAGATCTAGAAGAAAGAACACACACACATATAATAAACAAACCCGGGTATGTTTAGTAAAATCACCAAGGTGAAGAAATCAAAATGTGGTATGCTAATAGACCAAATAAAGGCATCCAACAGCTGTCAGTATCTCAACTTTGTACGGCTGCCCATTATGGCAATTGAAGATAAGCAATTAATTAAGGTCAAAGAAAAATAGATGAGTGAACAAGAACACCAAAGAACTTATTATCTGAGAGGTTCCCAGATATGGGTATGTGTTTCACGGTAACATGACTTAGGCAGAAAGTTACTAAACAAGTTTGAAGCATTGAAAGAGCAGTAAAATCTTACTTTAATATCAAAGACAAATGGATCCTTTCCACAGTTTACAGTCACCCTGTCGCAATATAATCAGCATTAGACCAACTAAATAGAGGAATATTGCAAAATCAAATTAGATGAAGAATATACATACTCCTCATTTTGGCTGTGCACAGCAACTGTAGGAAACACTGGACCGTTGATACAGAGCCTATTACGACCCCATTGAGAATATCATACTCACTGAAAGCACTCTATTCGATCAATTTCCTGATAAGAAGGTACAAAAAGATAACAAGAAATTATATGTATAGGTGAAGGAAGAAAATAGCCATACATAAACCGAAGGGGCTTGAATACCAGTTTACATTGAAAACCAATTGCACAAAAACCTCGCAACAGTAGTGAGCCACAAAGTCCAAAGATTTTGAACAATGCGTAAGTGTGATAAAAATCGAAAATTTCGAAGATCAGCGACAGTTTACACTGAGATTCTCGCGTACACCTACCGAGTTTACTTTGGTGAGCCTGCATTCAGTGTACCAAAATATTTCTTGATTCATGAAATAGTACCCTTGACTTGGTTCAGTTTTTCTTTCATCAAACAAATTTTTTCGACAATATATTAGACTTCAAATTCTTAGAGCAAATTGAAATATTCAAAATGGTGTATAGCTTTAATGAAGTCATAAGATCAAAAAATGTTAAGTAACAAAAAACAAAAAGCAAATATATGAATATAATAGTGAACCAGTAAGCATGGAAAAAAACAGAATTTCCAAGAAAGAAGTCACTAACGGTCATCATTCGTTCCACAAAGCATAAAACCACACTTGAAAAGGAATAAATTAGCAGAATCATCGTCGTTCCAAAAATCAAACATAAAACCACAAAGCAAAGAATTTTGCATTTTCATAAATAGCATTTCTTCATCACTCGTCCATAATCTAATACACAATTCAAGGTAACAAACTCTTCAACACAAAAAATAAAGAAAGAAATAAATAAATCAATCAAATCCCTAACCATCAATTCCATCGCAAATGCCCCGTATAAAAACCAATTGCACAAAACACAGAATGCATAAAAATAAGCTACAAACTGAAAACATACCCCGGCTGACGGCGAGGCTTGAAACCAGGCGTGGCAAATCCGATAACAACCTGTCCATTCGTACCCGCATTCTTCACATAAATCTCGAAATAATACAGCAGCCACTTTCTCGGCGCGGGTTGATTCGCCTACACCACCCCGACATCGTGCCCGTGCAGATTAATGGTCGGGTACAGAAGCGAGGCAACTCTGGAGATCCATGAAAGCATGGGAGGCAAGGCGGCTGATGAGTATTCACGTCAGAGATTAAGGACACAGGTAAAAATTTGTTCAAAATCTGAAACCCTTTAGGTTGAATTTCTCAAAACCTGATGTTGATTTGTGACTTGTTGATCGATTTTTGCTTGAATCTTATGCAGTGTGCTAACATTGTACCAGAGTATTAAATATCAGCGCACCAGAGCGTAAAGTAACTCTATCTCTACATGGCAGAATTTTTGTTATGTGTTGTTATGTGATGGCAAACCCAGAGGATAATAGAATAGTAGAAAAGAAAAAGGAAAGTTTTTCAATCTTTCAACTCTGCTCAACTTTTCTGAATAACAGAATTTTGCAATAATTATTTATAGTAAATACATTTTTATGTGAAGTAAGCATTTGGACTTAAACTACAAATTTATTTATTACATGCAAAATTAGACAAATAAGTTAGCTTATAGTTTATTTGGTTAGTTTATAAATTTTCTGTAATTAAATAAATTTTATTTGGTAGGACGAACTTTTTAAAAAACTCGAGTTTATCTTATAAGCTTCTTAAAAACTCGTTGAAATTTTTATTATAACTAGTTTATTAGCTAATGTTACCAAATAATTTAAGCTTCTTAAGAACTCGTTGAAATTTTTATTACAACTAGTTTATTAGCTAATGTTACCAAATAATTTTATCATGTAAACTAGCTTTTTAAATATAAGTCACAAACTATAAGTTATAAGCTCGAAAATTATTGATAAACTATCCGCTAGCTTATCAACCAGTTTTACCAAACATAACTTCAGCAGATTTAATATTATTTACCACGTCCTAGTTTGCAGTAACACAGTTCTATTTAATCAAAAATGTCAGAAAAGAATGAGCAAAAGCCCAAAATTTCCCAGCACGAAGGAAACTCAATAATCAAATGGAATCCCGAGCTCAGCTCTACCCGTAGAGCAATGGCGAAACCCGAGAAACCCAAATCCAATTCAGTGAACCTCCCGCCATCGTCCGGGTCGAATCCGTCCAAAATCCACCCGGCAGACGAACCGGAGAGCCCTCCCGACCCGAATTCATATTCCCTGGAGAAATTCCGCCTCTATGAGACCCGCGCTGTAAGTTAGGTTGAGTAAGGGAAGGCGATTGAATTTAATTTAATCCTCTTCTGGTTTTTTCCCCCAATTTTTTTTTGTTCAACAACGATGTGATTGTTAGCTGAATCGTGATCGAGTTTGATTTTTTCTGTAGTTTTATCTAAAGTATGCTAATGATCTGTCTCTGGTTTATCTTGGAGTTGCTCATAGATGGTTAGAACATTATGCCAGCTTGATTTGTTTACTTCTGTAAGATTAAGCATTAAACCTTAAGAGTGCAGTTTCCATATGGATTATGCAATTTTTCTGTTAAGATTCTTTTTCATGATTGGAAGTGATCAGATGCATGAACAGCCCTTTTATGTTTGTAACGTGGCCTCATGCTACCTTGATTTTTTTCCAGAGGTTTTACCTGATCGGAAGTGATAGGAACAAGAAGTTCTTCCGGGTTTTAAAGATCGATAGAATGGAACCTTCCGATTTGAATATAAACGAAGACCCCGTGGTTTATCCACCGCAAGAAGTTAAGAGCTTGCTCCAGAGGATTGCCGAGGGCAATCGTGCTACGGGAGGCTTAAATTTCGTGGCCAAGGTCTACGGCATTGTTGGTAAGTAAAATGCAGAGTTACTATGAATTAAATAATATTCACAAAAATTTGAATTCAATTGTCAAATGTTTTGTTTTCTTTTTGCAGTCTTATCCTTTTATTCATTCTTTATTTTGTTGCCTTGTACTTTGTAGGCTGCATCAAATTCTTGGAGTCGTACTATCTGATACTGGTGACAAAACGGCGGCAGATTGGCTGCATTTGTGGTCATGCGATATATAGTATAGACGAGAGCCAAATAATCACCATCCCACATGTTTCAGTTCAAACTGATATTGCTCATTCTAAAACTGAGCTAAGGTAACTGTTATTGTTCACCTGTTTGCATTTTAATAATTATCTTCCTACATGTGATGCACTAATAAATGTAAAAGGCAGTGATATGTCCTGATCATCTATAGTGGTAACATGACATAGTAGAATCTACGATCTTCACTCTACTTATGCTACTTGCTTGAGTAACGAAAAATGGCAATAAATTATTTTCCCCAAAGAAGTTCTTTAGATTTGGGTGCATAAAGTTGAATTGATTAGGTTTTTCCCACGAGTTTTTTTTCTCTCGATGTATCGCATGGTTCTGTTCGAAATGTAATTAGTGGAATAAAGTTATTTTGTAAGGATGAAAAGCGTGTTTGGTGTAAAAGATATTTTTAATATATTTGTCCTAATTGACAAGATTTCCTGTAAAATACAGGTACAGGAAGCTTTTATCCAGTGTCGACTTGACGAATGATTTTTTCTATAGCTATACTTATCCTATAATGCAAAGCTTACTGAAGAATGTGTTATCGATGGGTGAAGAAGGGATGCCATATGATAATATGTTTGTTTGGAATGCATTTCTAACACAATCAATTCGGTTAAGATGCAAGAACACCATTTGGACGATTGCTCTTGTTCACGGGAATTTCAAACAGGTGGGTTTTTTAGTTTTAAGTTCAATTTTTCCAAACTGAACTTAGTGTACGTTTCTTCGTCCTGGAGCGATCATATGTAGATGTTTCTAAAAATTATGTATCACATGTATGTTCCAAGAGAGAATTGCTTGTGGACTACAATCTTGAGTATTTTTGTTACAGTGAGATAGATGCGTGCTTAATTGTTCAATATACCTATCCTTTTTATAGAAATTTCTCCTTCCAATTGACTACGTACAGGTTAGACTATCAATTTTTGGAAGAGATTTTAGTGTTTCTTTGGTCTCGAGACGCTCTCGCCATTTTGCTGGAACACGGTAGGCCCTATTTCAAAGCTAAGTTTTGTGCTCTGATGCTCATAATTTAGATGTACCAATCTTTTATTTCTATAGAAATGGTTGTACTTCTAAACAAATGAATACAACAACAACAACAACATAGCCTTTAGTCCCAAGCACTTCTAAACAAATGAATTTTTGAAGATTTTTGTTTGTTACTGTTTTTTTTCGTGTGTTACCTCCTTAATAATAGCCCTAATAAAAACAGAAAACTAGATTGCATTTGGCAGGTGCTTTAGCCTTGTAATCTTCATATGCTGAAAAATGGTAGTTAAACCTGTAAAAACTGAAGAATGTGAGATTTCTTTTACTTTTTATTGCCTAATGTTTTATAAAATTCACAAGCTAACTCTTGTTTGATCCTCATGCAGTTACCTTAAGCGAGGAGTTAATGATCACGGGCGGGTAGCCAATGATGTGGAGACAGAGCAAATAGTTATCGATGAAGAAGCTGGGTCATGCAAAGGAAAGATGAGTTCTGTTGTACAAATGAGGGGTTCCATTCCCCTTTTCTGGTCACAAGAAGCCTCAAGATTCAGCCCTAAACCTGATATTATATGTGAGTAAAAATGATTTTTCATGTCGTCTCTGTTTTATTTAATCTTAAATTTTGAAGTCCAGTGCTATTTGCGGCAGATTTTAATATTTGAATGTCATTGCTATTTATTATTTGAAGTGCAAAGATATGATCCTACATATGAGGCGACCAAACTGCATTTTGAAGACCTGGAAAAAAGATATGGCAACCCAATTATTGTTCTTAATCTAATTAAGGTTTGTGTTATTTTATTCTGGCGTGTTAAAGATTCAAATGATATTCTTCTAACTGTTTTTTGTTGAAAGATGGATTTATGTGTTTCTGTATCAAATTTTTGGTATATATACTTTCTCTTTTTTCTTACCTTTTTATGGGGATCTGATCACAGACTGTCGAAAAAAGGCCACGAGAAATGATGCTGAGGCGTGAGTTTGCAAATGCAGTGGGGTATCTAAACCAGATACTTCCAGAAGAAGAACATCTCAAATTTATTCATTGGGACTTCCACAAGTTTGCAAAGAGGTATAATATGGGTGATTTTGACAGTGCATAGACTTTTCTCCCTTGTCTCCACTAACAGTTCTTGAATTTCTTTCTTTTCTTTTTCCAGCAAGTCTGCCAATGTATTGGCAGTCTTGGGTGGAGTTGCAAGTCAAGCACTTGATTTAACAGGATTTTATTATAGCGGAAAACCTTTGGTTGTTAAAAGAAGGGATTCACAACTAACTCGTACTAGCACTGGGAGGTATTATTCATTCTATTTTTCATGATCTACTCTATATTTTCTCTAGAAATCTCAATTTAACTATTATTTCTGAATTTATAGTAGTGAATCCCTACTTTTCAGGTCCAGGAACAAAATCAGTACATTAGTTATTGTTTTTCTTTTTCCTTCATATTTCATTCGTTACATCTTTAAATCAAACGTGAAACCTCACTTGTGCAGGGAATCTTCTCTTCGAGATTTAAGATCTAATTCAGTTGAGCTATCAAGAGTTGGTGGTGGCACTGATACCTCAACCAAGCAAGATAAAGTGTTCGAAAGTAAACAACAGAGCCAAAAGGACATCAACGGTAATTCAGAGCCGAGATTTCAAAGCGGGGTTCTGCGTACAAACTGCATCGACTGCTTGGATAGGACAAATGTTGCCCAATACGCTTATGGCCTTGCAGCTCTTGGCCGCCAGCTACATGCATTGGGCTTGACAGATATTCCAAAAGTGGATCCTGATAGTAGCATTGCAGCTGCTCTTATGGACATGTACCAGAGCATGGGTGATGCCTTGGCTCAGCAGTATGGTGGCTCCGCTGCACACAATACTGTAAACTCCTCTTTTTTAAATGAAAAACGAGTGTTTTTATTTATTTTGTATTTTATTATTATTATTATTGTTTTATTATTTTAACTTTATTTGTGATGGATAAAATTGTGACTAAAGGGTTGTTATATAGGTGTTTCCTGAGAGACAAGGGAAATGGAAAGCTACGACCCAATCTAGGGAGTTTCTGAACTCTATAAAGAGATATTACAGTAACACTTATACGGATGGTGAAAAGCAGGATGCAATTAACTTGTGAGTTATAATTTTCTCTCCTTTTTCCTTTAAATATACTGGAGTCTTCTTATATTAGTTTTTGATTATTGAGGTAGATTTAGCTTTTGGAACTCTTTGACTTCTACTGAGCCTTTTTATCAATTCTATTTTTCCTTTTCAATTATATGCCTGTGTGTTACTTTCCAACTGTAAGTGCTCTTGGTTTAAACAGATTCTTGGGATACTTCCAGCCCCAGGAAGGCAAACCTGCATTGTGGGAGTTGGATTCTGATTATTACCTTCATGTATCAGGGATTGGAGATGATCTTCTGCCCGATAGGTAACAATTATAATTTTTAAGTATTTACCAAATCACCTCGACTAATATGTGAAGATAGATTCAGAATGCTTTGCTATGTGGTCTTGTATTCTATTTGTAGTTGCACCGTAGAAAATGGTTGTCAAGTGGAACAGTTATTTGTAATTCCAATTTTGTTGAATATTTCATGCAAGATTATTCTTTTCTGTTAACTAATATTTTTCGGTTTCTTCTGTAATGTTTTCCATTAAGTTTGGGTGACAGTCCTTTCGATGATGTTAAGCCTTCGGAAAAAAGAGTTCCTTTGGCTCCAATTCCAGCTTGTAGGGAGGACTTTTCGCGCATGAAGTTGACATCGTTTGATAAGCTGATAGAAAGAACATGCAGTTGGATCAAGAATGTACGACTTTCCAGTGACCTGGATCAGAAATCGTCTGGAAGCTTTGGTGTCGCACCAGATGCAGCGTATGTGTCTTCTCGAACATTTTTTTTTNGAGATTTTGGGTAAATAAGTAATAAACACAGCAAATGAAAGAAAGAAAAAAAAAAAGGAATTGTGATGGTGACGATTCAAAATTTATCAAAATACAACAGTTACCCTCTTAAATCGATGCTCTAGGATCTTTTTCTTGTATACTAAAGTTTCTTAATTTTGTTTTTGGTAAATAACTCAAATCCCAAGGGTAATTTCTTTAAATAACTTCTTTACGCACTGATATTGTCTGATCTCTAATTTGAACTTCCCCGTACCAAAAAATCAGAAGTTTGACATTCTGATTCTGTATACGGATTAAGTGACATTAGGCTTTAAATTTCTGCAGCGAAATACAGCTCAAGAGTCCGAATTGGCTTTTTGGCCAGAGAAAATACGAGGATCCTAGCTCGGCTCCAAAGCTGACTTCTGATGAAGTTGCAAATGGGAATACTGATAACGAGAATACAATTGACAGATTATGTGACCTTAATTTGTTCTCGCCTGTTGTCGAGAGCAATGAAGAAGATGTCTTCCAACAGTAAGTTCCTTCATTTCTTTCACTTCATTTCCGCAACACGATTTTTATTTGTGGTGAAAAAAGGCCATTAGCATATTAATTTTTACATTCTGCCTCAGTTTCTATTTAATTTTTTTTTTCTTTTTAATATTTTCGTAGATACCTAGCCATGACAACAGTCGACGAGACTAACGGGTGGTATGGTGGCACACTGCTGGGTGATCAAGACGATAGCAGTGAGATTTATCAGCATTATGCAGAACTTATTCAGGTACAGAAAGATTCGAACCCGGTTTTGAGAAATCTTTATATTTTCAAAATATTACATAGGTACACTTGACATGCATTTACTTGTAAAGGATGATTACCCATAAATCGAAAACCCGGAATTTTTTAGTTTTAGCTAACTACAGAGATAAAGGAAAATGTTTTCAATAATCAAACAAAGAGAGAACAGTAATTGTCTGCGAAATTAAAAAGCTGTTTCTTGAAAGGTTTTCCCCCCTTCTGGTGCGAATTCGATACCTTTGGGGGGTCGCTTCGTAATTAGCCCAAAACTTGGTGAATTTTCTACAGTTTTAACTTAACCCCACTATCCTTGATAATCTTCTTACACATTACATCAACTTTAATTCACTATTCGTCCACTCACATAATTTTAACTAACCATCATTTCATATCATCTCTCTCATACTTTTACATCAAATCAACTTTAATTATTTTGTTTTAAATATTATTTTAATATAAACTCAAACTTTCACTAACAACTAACCATACGACTTTTTTTTAAGATTAACCATGGTTAACGAAAAATAAAAAACATCCTCAATGGGGTACTTCTGATTTTGTACTTCTCCCTTTTTTTTTTCCTTGCAGGGGCCCACGATGGAACCCTTTGAGAACGACAGTGAGAAGGAGAAATACTATGCAGATCTCGTTAGTGTGAACAAGTTCGACTTCACCGACGATACTGTTACAGAGGCAGAAATGGAAGGCGCTCTAAACGCGTATGCCCGAGCAGGTGCCGATCTTGGAATATTCCCAAAGTCATGCAACACACAGATTCTTGACCCGAGCCAACTGACGAGATGGATTCTTGGTGAAGATAGGCTACACAAGCTATGAAAAGCCTGTAATTCTTGCTCACCCCTTAAACAAAAGGAAAAAAAAAAATGTGCCTATGTGTATATATTGGATGATGATGGTCATGAGGTGGGCAATTTGGGTATTCTTTTGCATATTGATGCTATAAAAACTTTGAGATGTGAAATAGTATAAAAATTGTAAATTTGGTGTTTTTCATTTGTCTTATATATTTTGAATTTAAATTGTGAATAATTTTGTGCATAGTGGCAACTTGGTATGTCATTTGATGTGGAGTAATTGTAAACAAAAGTAATATATTCTAAACCTGATTATAAGCTGAATATAAACTCACATAATTTACATGCTTGATATAGTTATGAACCAATCATGTGGCACATAACTAAATGAAAGAAAAAAAGAAAAGGACAACGGAAAAAAATAAAAGGTGATTATCATTTTTTTTCCCTCGCCAAGAATTTATCCATTGAAAATAAAAATGAATCAAAAGAATTTTAAATAAAATCTGTTTATTTCATCTCACTATTCCACATAAATTCTGGTGACGCAATATTTTAAAACAATTATTATATATATTATAATAAAAATATTATTCATCATCTCTCAAGTTTCTACCAATTTTATCAATTAACATTTTATCACTATTTTTATTATATTACCTTTAATTATTATATTTTTATTTTATATATATATTTACAATCTCAAATTATCTCTCTAATTTTTTATAAAAAAATTAATCTTAAGTTTTTCAGTCAGATAAGATTTTTGAAAAAATCTTTTATCCAATTTCATGTGAATCCAGTTCCCTTTACATTAGTGCTGAATGGTAAATAGTAGGGCTCGTTTTCTCATTCAGATACAGGCTAATGTAGGCCTGTTTTAAAACCCATTTCAGTGGAGCCCATTATATCAAACATATACATACAGCCCAATTCGTCCAATGTTCACCAGCCGCTCAGGTACATCTCTAGCAAATGGAAGACATTGAGGACTTGTTGGCCGGCGCCGCCGGCGGAGCGCCGCCGGGTTTCCGTCTGGTGGTTCCAGCTGCCGTAGGTGTCAAGCCAAGGAAGAAGCCTTTGCAAGATTCTCTTAAGAGCTACGATACAGCTAAAATCCTTGGCACTCAGGTGATCTTTCTCTTCGGATTTCGTTTTGCTAGTCAATTGTAGTTAAATTACTCACTGTTTTATGTTACTTTTTTTTTTTTAGTTTGAAGTA